TTCTACAGTGCTCTCTGACGCCTCTGTTCTTACACCTGACCCACTTGTATGCACGGGGGCTATTCCTCTTTCATCTTCATAGACCATCAGACTTTGTTGACCCACAGAAGGTGCTGAATAGATGATACTTGCTTCTTATTACAGTCCCTACATTCTGAACCCGACAACAGATGATCATCCTGCCCTTGTTTTATGCCATAGGCCAATGTGTAGAAAATCAACAGAATTTCCAGCCCCTATTTCCTAGAGTAAATAAATTTGTTTACTTAACAGTGATGGAACATGAGATTATGACTTGCAATATCTGGCAATAAGTTCACTTTATCTATTTCTAGAGAGTATAGAACAGTCAGTTGCTAGAGGTGTCATATCAAATCCCAGAGGAGGAAATTTGGACAGGCAGAGACACCAAAGACGCTTTGAAACTCTTTCAGCACAGGTCTATGAACTGTGAGCAGCTGTCAGGTTCTGGGCTCAGAACACAAATAGTCCCAATAAGAGACAGAAGTTATCATACTAAATGCTGATCAATTAAGGAAGAACTTTAGATAGTGGAGAAGCCCCAGGGATTTGGACACAGCTTGGTTACCTAATCTTCAGTGACTTTGAAAAAGGTAATTAACCTCTTTGAATTTCCTTTTCAAACCCACAAAACATTTGGGCAATGAAAGTAGCTGCTTTATTGGGTTGTTGTGAAAACTTACTGTCATAATCTTAGCAATCCAAAATGTAAGCACATATGATCACGCTGAATATTTTTATATGTTTTGAGAATACTTTCTCACTTATAATTTTCCAGTTAATATGATTTCTATGAATCACACAAGGCTGTCTTGGTCCTAACATAAATGTAAAATCACATTAGCATCCTCATTTTTCATAAGATGGTGAGTTCTAAAGCATTTAAACATTTTACCCCATAAGTAATGGTTCATACATGTTAAATTATTGGAAAGCCGTATTTTCCATTTTCAAATACCTCAAATGTTTTATGACATTAGTAAGTTCATTGCTAAAGAGCGATCACAATATCAGCAGTGTTTCAAGTCAGAGTAAATGTAAGTCAAGGGATCCCTTGAGGATGGGGAGGACGTGGGTGCACTGAGAGATGAGGAGTGTATACTAGATACTGATGATGGTGGAAGAGGAAGCTGAAAAACGTTCAACCCAGTGATACGCAGGTTATGTTGACTCTAAGACAATGATGTTAGGATGGATGAAGAAAGACAAGTTAGGCTGCATACTGGGCCAAGGAACTTCTTCAGACTGTAGAGACAAACCTCCTTGCTTTGAAGATGAACATTTAAGAATCAGCCAAATCTAGCAATCTCAAATTGTGAAGTCAGTTCAAGACTTCTGACATCCATACCTCAGTTTCTACACATTCTGTTGTGCTCCCAGGCTCTATAAGGACTCGAAGCCACACCAGAGAAGCATTAAATTGGGTCCTCCATGGAGTTTGGTGTTGTGAACCAGTTAGCATTTCTTGTCCATATGGAATTTCTATGATCAGTGAGACACAGGTCTTTTGAACATCATAGGATATAATAATTCTCCGTTTTTATATAAACTAGCAGTTCCAAAATGTTTTTCCAAGGTCAAATGAAACTAATCACATGAGTCTATTTTGGATTAAGCTACATTGGGGATCTTTCCATGAGTGAAAAGCATGTTCCATTTCATTGAACCCTGAGTGTCTGTCTCACGATAATTTTTTTTTTTTTACATTTTATTTAATTAGTGTGTGTGTGTGTGTGTGTGTGTGTGTGTGCGCGCGCGCGCGCACGTGCTGCCATGCAGAGTGTGTGCTACCCTGCATGTGTGGACGTTAGAGAACCATCAGTGACAGTCAGTTTTCTCCTTCCACCACGTGTTTCCTTCCCAAAAGTTGTCAGGCTTGGCGGCAGTGACTCTACCCACTGAGTCACCTTTGGTCGTCTGGTTTTTGCTTTTCATTTCAATTATTAACTGGCGATCTTCACGTGCAAATCTCTCATGACATTGTCTTCTGAGTAGGCCTTTCCTTGGACTTCCCTCTCGGTACGTAAGCAAGCTTCATTTCCACTAAGAACATATGATCATCCATGACAGGTGCCTTTGGAGTGAGTCCGATCCAAATGAAGGCAAACGTTAGATGTGGTCCGACCAGCAGCATCTATTGAACTTTCTCTTCACTGTGTCTGAGATGAAATTCCTACTAATTGCAGTCAGGATTTTATTTAAACAGTTTCATTTAATATCCTGGAACTTCCATTCCAAACAATCTTGACTAAGTCTCACAGGAAGCACCAAGTTCTGCAAGCACAAACAACTTGCTTCAAGGAACTTATGTGAGATAGAGGAAGAAAGCCCGGGATAAATATACTGCTGCACAACGTAACTTCCAGGTCTCTGTCATTTTTATCTGCATGGTAATTTCATTTGTCTCTATTTTAAATTTTTTGATTTAGTTATTATTTTTATGTGTATGAGTGTTTTGCTTGCATGTACATATGTGTATAGGTGAACTTATGTCATGCAATGTCTGTGGAGGCCAGAAGAGGGGGAGAGATGCCCTGGACTGGAGTTGTGGACAGTTGCTAGCTGCCATGTGGGTGTTGGGAACCCCAACTGGCTCCCCTGAAGAGCAGCCAGTGCTCTTGACTGCTGAGCCATCTCTCTGGGCACAATTTTCCTCTGTTCTCATGCACAGCGGCAGCAGAATATGCTGCACCTATCACGCCTTGTGCATATCCAAGAGACATCTTCAAGAGAATTGCAGCAGCGTTTCTGCAGTGGCAGGTCAAGGTCTTCCTTAGGCCTAGATAGAGAGTACATGGATTGTTGGCTAATGGTAAAATACAGTCTTGGGAAAATATATGAGTTACTGAGTAAGTTTGTCATTTGGGCCCCGTGACAGCCAGAATCATGGTCAATTGTCAAAAGTCCACTGTGTGGTTCAGTGGAGCCTATATAACATTATAGTTGCAACTGGGACTATTTAAAGGACAAGGCAGTCAAGCTTCTAAAATATAAGACACGTTCTTTCATCCAACATTTCTACTTCCAGAAACACATCAAAGAACTTTTGTGACTTTTCGACAATATGATATCTATACTTGTGTTCAGTGGTATTCGTTTTTCCTAATTCTATCAGCTGAAGAGATCAAGCTATCATAGCAAATGATGCGAGACCATAAGAAAAACTGACACAATTCTTTATGGTTTATATGCAATATGTGCAGAATATACTTAGTGAGGAAAATTCAGTAGAGAAATTTTTCTATGGCCAATGGTGGTAGTTTCTTGGATTAGGAGGAACATTATTTAGAATGGTTGAGATTGGAAAGGAGCTCACCACACTCTCTATTATGTGAATTTTGTTTCTTTTGGATGAATGAACATTTTCTAAAACTGAAAATATCTAAAAGGTCAGAGATGGGCTGTGTTATACATATCTGTCCATTTGATATTTCTCAAAGTGGACACAGGTATATGGTGCATACTCGTGAGGTGTTTAGATCATACTGGCTTCTTGAGAAAGCCTGCTTTGGATTTACTTTGACCAAGTCTATGTCTAGCATCCTCTGGAGCTCAAGTCACCAGAGGCATGGTTAGGACATCTTGGCCTCTCCACAGGGACCTGAAGGAAGGGATTCATAAAGTCCCCATTCAGAAGGGTGCTAATGCTCCTGGATCCTGCAGTCTTTCTAACTCACTGGGGTTCAAGTCTACCAGGGTCTCCAAAGTTTGAGAGCATCAGGATCCAATGGCAAAACAAAAACACCTCTGTTCCATAAGCACATTGAATAAAATATTTCCTGTTATTTTTCTTTCCGGAATACCCAAAGGTAAATATCCAAGCAGATGGGAAACAGCAGAAGACAGCAGGGCCCTTCATCATTAACAGCTCTAAGGGAAGAAAGTCATTGAACACAGAGGCACATCATGATGGAATCCGTGAGATCAGAGGAACATCAAAGGGACCCTGCGGACCTTGGTCTTCCCTCCCCATCAGTGCACACACCCTCTAACTGAAGGGCCTGTCTCTGAGCCTTCTTCTGACAGCCATATAAATACAGGTTGGCTCCTTACTCCCCACACACTCAGCTCCTGATCAGCAATCCTCCAGTGACTCCTAGCCATGAGAACACTCACCGTCCTCCTCGCTGCCCTTCTCTTGCTGACCTTCCAGGCCCAGGCTGATCCTCTCCCAGGAGCAGCTGAGGAGACCCCAGATGAGGAGCAGCCAGGTGACGAGGACCAGGATATGGACATCTCCTTTGGA